GTGCAGAGAAAGACCCTATCACTGCAAGAAAAGTTGTATTTTCGTCAGTAAGCGGCACTGTAGATTGTCGTGGAACTTCAGGTTTACGACTGCATACGGCAATTTGCAGGCAACACGAAAAACTGCCGTGAATTGTCGGAAATTGATGTGGGCCTTGCTTGGCAGTTGTCCCCCCATGACCCCCCCTCCCCCTCATTCTAGGGGAAGCTTTAACATGTAAATGAAAATGCTGTGAGCTATATAAATGCAAATCAGGGTAGCATGGGGAGTTTTACCCCAGGTGACATTTTTCTAAAAGGTAAGAAAATCTCTGGTATAAATAGATCAGGCTCAGTATAGCCTAATTATAGACTCTTAAATTTTAGCTTGAATTGATTTATTTAATGAAAGTATGCTAGATTAATTACTGTGTATGTCATTAGCAATGGCAAATGTTATGTAAAAAAGATACACAAATGTAGTAACTGTGAAGAATTGAGAGAAATATATTGTCCTCAGGTCCACTACGGGGCGATGAGTTAGTTGTTACCTGTTGGGAATGCAATAGATGGAAAGAAGAAGAATTTAGTCCTGTTTACTGTGGCTGCGTTTCATTAGTAGTTCCACTTCCCCTTGTTCACTTACCCTCAGCCCTTGGTATGACGTAACAGCATACGTCGCACGGAGGCCACTTGGAGCGCGGAGGGAAAGTGGGCGGGGGAGGGAGCGGGGATTTAAATGAAACGCACTTGCCCTTACTCTGCGTTATAGTGGCAGTGACGTAAACTGCAATGCATTGTGGGTGATATCCACCTCGGAGTGACCATCGTTGTTCACTCGCTCCCTCAGCCCTCCGAGGGTCCATCTCACCAAGTTCACTTTAGTTTTCCAGACAATTGGAACAACACTTATGATGGCGGCAGGGATTCCCCCGAGGGCAAGTGCCGAGGGCAAGTGAACGAGGGCATGTTGAACAACTAATGAAACGCAGCCTGTGAGAGATGATGTGATTGTGATATACACTGTGTTCGTCAGGAACAAAAAAAAACTTGTTCGGTAAGAAGCCTCCCGTGAGTTACTACTACAAAACAATTTATTTCAACAATTAGAAGAAACTGCTGAATGCTATCAGTGGGCTGTCTCGTCAGCTTACTCTGTTTGCTGCCGATGTGAATGAGCAGTTCACTCAACTCAGCAGTTCGGTTAACTCCAGGTTGCTGTCCATGGAGGATAGGTTGGCTGCTTTGGAGTTGAAAAACTGTGCAGGAGACTCTAAGAAGAGAAGACGAATGCACAATCCCAAGATTGCGGTAAGAATATGTTCGGTGACTGCTAGCTAAGTTAAAGTAGCCTAAAAGCAAAGGTTTTTTTTAAGTAGCCCAAGCTAAAAGTAGCCTAGTAGCCTTGTAAAAGAACAAGTGAGCAGAACCAGTGTAAGTTGCTTTATAAAAGTGTATTTTTTTGTCTTGTAATTTACAGGAAGCAGTACGCCGTCGTCACAACTCAGAGACAAATTGTAGGCGCTACGAACCGGAGCAAGGGTAAGATTTAAAGAATATGCTTTCATTCTGCTGTATAAGGAAATAGATACGTTAATAGATACCGATCTTAACTGTACATTTTGTTTCCACAGACTAAGCTCGCCTCATAACAAGGCCGTGACCTCCTATTTGCTCGGAGCTATGTCTGCAAGTCCAGATTTACACGATGCTGATAATGACGACATTGTGTGTAAGTAACTTTTACTGTTTTCTCCTTCCTTGTTTAATTTTACTGTGACTTATGTTTTTTTTATTCATACCACTCTCATTTAATTGTTTTCCAGCTGCCTGTAAGACCTATTACGAGACAGTACGCAGGAACTTCAGGTACAAACAACCAGACCTTGCACCGCAGGCGGAAGCTGTGAAGAGTTCAGCTCAGAGTCGATTGAGAAGAAAGAGACTTTTTTTGGTGACTATTTTTCAGGTGCATTAAAAGATGTGTTGTGTCCATAAGCAGTGCATCGCGCATTACTGATTGTCTTTATTGATTGCGTTTACAGCTGCTGGAAGCTGGACAGAGTGTGCTAGATGAGGAAGAGGGGGAACTTTGGAAGTCCGTCACCATAGACCTGATGTCTGATGATGGCATCGTTGGCGGGGTGTCTGGATGGATTGTGCGACCTCCGTCCTTTCGCAGCCAGCAGCTCACCGAGCTCTGTGCCACGCTTCAGTCGAGATTAGAGGCGACTCCGAAGTACAGGGCAACGCACCACAGAAGTCTGTAAAACGGGCCAAATTCAGACAGAATGCCGCCAGTTAACTACAGCTCCGAGGCGGCAAACAGCCACTTCACGGTGCTGTAGGATTTTGGGCTTCTTGTGAGCTTCCATTTGTTGTGTGGGCAGATCTCACTTTGTACATAGTTGTGTGTTTGTGCTAACAAAGCTCTTTCTTTGAATAAACATGTTCCTGGCAAATGTTCCTTTCCTCAATAAATTCATTCATGTCCTTGATGGTAATAATAGTGTAGTCCATAGGATAACAATGACATGAATATACAACATAATAGCATATCATATGAATATATATATATATATATATATATATAATTATTATTTTATTATTGGGGGTTACATTTATAATGACCCAGGGTGACCAATAGTGACAGATCTGCCAACCAATCACGCGTGATTTTTCTTGTTTAAAAGTAGTGGTTTCATCCAATACTGTGTAAGGAAATTCAAGCCAGGCCTGGCCAGGTGTGGTTTCGCTGCTATTCAAATGCTAATTAGATCCATTAGCACTCCGCTGCGAGCTCTCCACATACGTCATGGTTCATTTCCGACAATATGTGGCACAGACAAACGCGACGTTCACAGGCTTTAAATTGTCATTTCCGGGTGTTTACGGGGACAAAAATCCCACTTTTCATGCAGTGTATTGTGGTCAGGTGGCCCTAGAGGTGGGAGCGGGGATGCAGTATAGGCATCTTTGACAGTTCATAACAGATGTCTAACCCTCAAATTCCACCAGATTTTAAGCAGAGAAACACACCGTTTAGTTTCCTTTTTATAGATGCTCCCCTTGTGAAAACACCCTCGAATGTTATAAAGCTGTGCCTGGTGGAAGTTCGGGGTAAGTAGAGTGAAGTTTGGGTTTTTTCCGATACTGGTGCTAAAATGATACTTTTGAAACGGTAGCTCAGCATTTCAAGGTAGCTACTAGATAGTGGTAGGCTACCTTCTGCCAGAGCAATGTAGAAAGAGAGTTGCTGTAATGTTAACTAGCAATGGCACATGTGTAGTGATGCCTGTTTTGCCTGTTGCGTCCACACCACATAGCAACTATTTCAGTAGCTGGCTCTGGTTTTGGTACCCAAGTGATGTCTAAGGTCTTATTTTTCCTGGTAGGGCAGTCAACACACAGTTATTAAAATCCCCAAAGTTAAACTTGGGCTGACTGTGGGAGTTAAAAATAATCTCTGGTGTGTTATTACAATTTGCCTTTGGGTTAATGAGAAGATGAGGAACATTAGAAAAAACTCCCTGGGCAGATGGAAAGGTGGAAGAGAGACACACAGCAGCTCAGTGCCAGGGCTACACACGTGCTCTCTCACCACAGTTGCCTGACACCACTCATCCCTGATAAGGTGACAAAGGCTGCCCCCAAAAGTTTACCGGTGATGTTGGGACAGTCCGGATATATGTGATTGAGTAACAGTAAGAATTCTCTGCTGTATCTATGCATGTATTCTATGCTGCCAGCAACATAGCCATTGTTGTATACTTGGGTTAGCATAGTATATGTTTAAAATAATCGGAAACGTTCAATTATGCACCATAAAACGGAATTCAACAATGCAGCAGGGCAGCCACAGGTTGGGTACCAAATGATTAGGTTTTTTTTGGGTGCAAAAAGCTCTACAACTGATTATCCATCTGAAGAAATTATTATTCCCAAACTTACTGACATGATTTACATGACATGGTTAGGTTTGTTACAGATTCATAATCTTTTGATAAACATTTAGTTAATTGCCTGTCCAACTTTATTTTACTGTAATATTTCACAATGAGCTATCTGACATGGCTATTTCTTGCAGTGTGCCGGCACTCTCCATCAATCTCCCCCTTTGACTGATGTTTACCAAGAGAATAAGGCAGGATTGCCATTAGCAAGTATTGAGTCTCCTCCTGCTTGTCTCAAGAGGCACACACTAGATCTTCTTGACCTAGATATCCCACCATACTGTAGCTGCCAGTGAAAGAGGCAATGGAACTGATGTCCTGTCTGGATTATGTCAAGAAAGCTGAGATGAGATTTATACTTAAAATTAGTTTTAAGATCATTTCTGACAGAGAGCTTACGTTTGATTCATAAAAGATACTGAGCATTAAAAACCTTACTTAAGCAGGTTCTAAGAAGCGCATTTGTAACACCTGTGTTCTATAAATCTAACAATGCTTTCACAAGTGAGTGTTTAGAATAGAATAGATATTCATAGTCATTGTCAAAATCACCTTTGGTCTCACCAGATCAGATATAACATACATCAATATGGCATATCTCATCATCACATTACAACAGTTAAAAGAACATAGACACAGTGTATAACATGCCTTCTGCGCAGAAGATAAGTGCAGTTTGTTCATGAAGTTTATTGCACTACACTGTAAACTGTTTCTCATTTATTTTACAATAAAAATAAATAAATGTAGCTTTTTTTAAATACCCGTAGCCTATAGCCTGTGAATGTACATTTCTAATGTAAAAATCTGTAACTGTAAATAAATAAAATTACTGCTTATTTAAAGTAAATTTCCCTTTTTTCCAACATAAAAAGACATTGGACTGAAAATACAGTTGCAAATCTGTAATTTTTTTGCGATATTTATTGTTTATTTAATATATTAAACAGTTAATTTTAAGTTTAATACTGTTAATACGTTTCTAAAATTATGTAAAATCTGAGTCAATTGAAAGTGCTTGTTAATTGACAGATATATTGTAAAATTATGGGAGTTTTCACAACAAAAATGTTGAATAAATGTTTTTTATTAGTGTATGTAAGTATTAGTAAACAGTCAAAATACAGTTTTTATCACTGAAAGAGCAATAATTACTGTAATTCACAGATGGTGGCTTTTATTACCGTTCAGAAAATTTGAAATTTATTTTGCAGCATTCAAGACCAAGAACAGACAGTCAATCAGGAAATGCAAGTTAAACACAATAGCACACAGAAATTAACATAACACGCCACCGAGTCCAACAGGCAAGTTACCGGTAGCAAGTTCACCATCCATTAAATTCTTTGTCCTCCGTGTTGCTCCTGAACATAGTTGTAACAGCTCTGGTTGTCACAAGCCTAGAGCGCCTTCTCGCAGCTGTGGCCGGTAATGTTTAGTCTACTCCTCGTTTCATGTCGGAATTATTCAAAAACATGTTCAATTTCATATATAAGTCGCAGCACCAGCCAAACTATGAAAAAAAGTGTGACTTATAGTCCGGAAAATACGGTATACGTTTGTTTGTTTTTTTGGCATTCTGCTTTATTTGACAAGACAAACGAGAGGGGAAAGGAAGGGGAGAGAGAGGGTATGACATGCAGCAAGGGGCCTCAGACCAGACTCAAACCCAGGTCGCTGCAGTAAGGACTGGACCTTGACACAAGTTATAGACAACTGGTAAACATGGAGGAAGTGATTTTTGTCAAAATAACTTTTTGTCACACTTGCTGAAACTTTTACTATATCCTGACAGTAGTACATGAGACAGAGCATCTGTAAAAGTGACTTAGTGCTCCTAATGGCATTTGCAAGAATAGTAAAAATTTCAGCAAATATGACAAAAAATATTTTGATAAAGTTACCTACTGCAGCTTTAATACGGGGAGACATTCTTTATATGACAAAAACAGGGATTACTTGGAATAAAAGCATGTCTCTAATTTAATCCTGCTAAAATTATTTTCTCTGCTGTGGAGGTAAATACAGGCCCCAAGAGAATTTATAGCAAGCATTTCAAGCTGAATCAAAGCACTGCTCATGCTCAATAAAAGCTGCTCTCAATCCATATCTGTACAATTGTTCTGGGAGGTACCAGCTTTATGAATCTTCAAACATCAGAAACATCAAACCTCTTTATAATATGGAAATTTATGTAACATAATAAATATGTAGGTTACACAATGCAGCCCTTGATGCATTGATGTCTAAGGCCAAAAGCAAAACACAATGTAACGTAGAGCTGAGGTGAAATCGGTTGGGAGGTGACCTGGTTTTGAGTACTTGTCCTTAAAGCACAGGTTCAGTCGTTGCAGTGAAAATGCAATGTATTCAATAATAATAATCTACATGCAACTGTAAATAAGGCGGACTCTCTCTGGTCACTCTTTAAACCTACTTAAAATAGAAGAATCACTCCAAGGGTAATGATGTCTTTCAGAGGACATGTCAAAAGCCTGCAGGGAGACAAAACAAAAACAGAACGAGAATTAATTTGAAGCCCTTGAGCTGTTTCACTCAGAGCCTGTGCTCACCTGTCTATGGAGCTGATAAAAGAGTTCAAACAAGTCCACCAGCTTTTCTCAGAGCACTCCAGATTTTTCCTTCATTTCACTTCCCTAGTTTGACCAAAATGTATATCACTGCTGTTTCTGAACAGTGAACAAATAACACTGTATCAAATGGGTTGACAATGCTAATTTAGGTAGGACTCACAAGAAAGAGGAAGAGTTTTAAAAAGGTACAGGAAACTTAATTTCCTATTCCTTATTTTTACCAAGGTAGTTGTTGGTGGTTGTAGTCTTGCTATCAGCTTTTAGACATGCCATTGGTTGTTGTTGCTCTTATGTTGTTTCATTATCTTTCCTGGTTCAGACTCTCTCAAGCATGTAGGTGAAAATATTGTGGCTGCCAAACCTGCAAAAAACACAAAAGGTCCTACCTACAGCCTGTGTTTGGCTTGTAAATGGTAAATGATAAATGGACCTGTGCTTGTATAGCGTCTTTCTAGTCTTCTGACCACTCAAAGCGCTTTTACACTACATGTCTCATTTGCCCTTTCACACACATTCATATAGTGATGGCAAGCCCATTGAACAGAAACTAACTCACCAGTTGCTGGTGTTACTTATAGGAGAAGACTACAAGGAGAAACGCTTTCGGGAATGGGAGGTTCATATGCAGACCTGATGTAGGTTGATGTATGCTATATTGTAAGAAATATCATTGATTGTGTATGAAAATAGTATTCAAATATATTTTAGTAAACAAATGTGCTTCTTTGAATAATAATATGGTTTAATAGATGATAAGAATTATAAGTAAGGAAGTCAGAACCGCTCCGTTTTCACTGGGTGTAATTTACTAAACATTTGCTCAGCTCCAAACTAATGGACACAATGTCAAATAACCAGCAAGGATGTCTACATGGCCCCGACCTCAGAGGACAGAAGAGCTGAGAGGATAAAGTTTATTTTTAATAGCAAGATGTGTGTGAATTTTACTGATTTCTTAAAGTTTCAGTGTGTAAAATTCAGGAGGATCTATTGTCAGAAATGGAATATAATATTTATAGGTATATATTCATTAGTGTATAATCACCTGAAAAAAAGAATTGTTGTGGTTTAGCTACCTTAGAACAAGCAGGTTTTATCTACAGATGCTGCAGGTTGCCTGCTGTGGAGGATGCCATGTTTCTACAATAGCCCAGAATGGACCATCTGTTGCATTGTTAGCACGTTTCACAGCGACTGCAGTTTCTCCCTTGCGGATGGAAGGGAGGGTGAAACGAGTTAGTTGCAATCTGCAACTACTTCGCTAGATGTCAGTAAATCCTACATACACAATCCTCGCCTTTATCATCATAATCTCAGTATTCCTACATACATTTAACTGACTAACTTACCCCTGCATTTGACCCTCCATATACACTAGGAGCAGTGCACAGCCATGGGGAGCAACTTGACCAATTGACTGTGTAGAATTTCAGTCGACCAAGACTTCCTTTGGTTGACTACAGCCCTAGTTTCAAAACACAGAAAAAAGTTCCATTTAGAGCTCATGCTCTCACCTTTGATATCAGATTAACATCATTAGTCTTATTAGTGTTACCTGAAGGTGGCTTCTTGGCATTTGTGAAATTCAAAGACTACTTCAGGTGAAACATTAAGCGGATTTGCTGTAGAGATGTTACCAAAAATTTTTTTTTTTCAGTTTTCTGAAACACTGAATAATAAAGGTGAAAGATTGATGGCACATGAAAAATCTTGTACCTCTTAGCCTGTCAGTACTGCCTCCAGCCACCTTGATGCAAGTCTACGGTATATATTGATGGGTGCAGTGTAAAATTAATAAGTGCCAATCCTTTATCTGTATCACCAGAGAATTTTTATTCAGCTCACATTTGACATTGTAGTAGACTGAATTACCAGAGTGGTTAAAGTACTGCTTGGCGTTTGGTCTTTGGATGATGTTATTCGTCATGATTTAGCTACTGAAATCTGTTTGCCCATCATTGATTTAAAAGGGAAATTCCAACCTTGGATCCTCTTATACTAATGCATGTATATATCATCAATCTGTGATCCTGAATGCATGCCTGGAATGACTTGAATGAATTTGAATTTATGCTTTTTGTGTATCATTGAGCTGGCTCCTACATTCCTCAGTGACTTTAAACAACCTTCAAAGAACTGGAGTGAAATTTGCTGTTCGCTGTCTGTGACTGGAACAAAGATACTGGATATATTTTCTGAAATGTTGAAACTAGTGACTAGTGTTCCTCAGTAACCTTTGCTATAAGTGTCTTTCACAAAAGATTGTCAGTTTTCAGTGGCATCCAAACAAGACTAAGGGCCCTATCTTGCCGATCTGAAGCGCAAGTATCAAACGCAAAACGCAAGTAGCTTTGTGGGTGGATCTCGGGCGCTGTTGCTATTATGCCGGCGGGATAAATGACTCTTGCGCCTGGCGCAAATCTAAAATGGGTTGGTCTGAAGTAGCTAAATTAGTCATAGGTGTGGTTTGGGTGTAACGTGCAATAAACCAATCAGAGCGTCATCTCACATTCCCTTTAAAAGCAGGCGCGCTTGTTCCATGGCGGATTGCTATTATAACGGCGGATTGGCCAGGCGCACGCCAGGAGCGGTTCACAGCCGAGGAGACCGACGTTCTCGTCATGGCCGTGAAATACCGAGAAGTGACATTATTGACATGAAATAAATGTAACACAGCCATACAATAAATCAAAACAATGTAACACAGCTTTGCAGGAAGAAGACCCTGGCCTCGGGAGCAGTGCGCACGGCCGAGCAGTGCGCAAGGGCCAGCTGAGGAGGGAGCAGCGCAAACACCAAGGTGCAGAGGATCCAGACCCACTACACGCCGGAGGACCACCCGTTCCTGCAGCAAACTGGGTTTGACATGCTGGAGCGGGAGCTGTCCGGGATGCGGCAAAGTATTAATGCCCGTCTTGACCGGGTGGCGATGTTGCTGCTGCCTCTCAGGTGCATCTCCTCAAGTCTGCGCCCTTAAAATAGCATCTGAATAAGTGCCACTGACTTTAGACTAGGTTTTTCCTGGTCTGTGGCGGAATTGTTTTCTGAAACAGCAAAATAGCACCAGGGAACGTTTGCGCTGGAACACGACCCCTCTTTTCGCTGAACCGCCCCCCGGAGCGCAAGTTCATTCCCTAATTTAAGGACGTGCATCGGTGGAGGGAAAATTCCAATGTGCGTCAAGTGCAAAATAGGAATTATACAAGCGCCAGTGTACAAAGTCAATTGCGCTGAGTGCAAGATAGAGCCCTAAGAGTCTTCAAACTTCCGTGGCTCATCCCATAACTCAACAAAATAAGATTGGCTACGACAGTTGTCAATGTCAAATTCATGCCCAGTCACTTGAATGACACAGGCATTCCTGTCTCTCCCTGTTCCTTCAGGGAGAGACAGCTTCAAAGGCAGTGCAAATCTGCCAAGTCATGGCACGACATTAATTATCCAAAATGTATTTGTAATTAGCTGAAAGATTATTCATATATTTCATATATCATAATTTCCTCTGATATAAGCACTGTTCCAAATATTTACAGATTTCAAAGACAGATCTGACAAGACCTCACAAGAAACTGCAACAGTTAAAAGAAAAGCTCCTCAACTGTCAACTTGTTTTCTATCCAGCTGTCAATCAAGTGATAACTTGGCTAAACTGTCCCCCGGGGGCAGTTGGCCTATTACTATGTAAATTGTGCCAAATTACCATACATTCCCATCAGTGCTGTCCAGCTGGAACCTGCTCCAATAACAGACCTTTATATTTCTTTGCTGCATGTGCAGTATATCACTCCCAGTGGATTCACACAGGGATTTTGTTGGTTGCCTTTTGTAGTGCCTGGCTGTGCTCCGCCCTGTGACAGGAGCGGCACTCAAAAGCAGCGGCACTTATACAGAGACCGACAGACAGGTCGCCTCCGCAGCAGTGCGGACAGGACAGAAACTAAAGTATCGATCCCATTACACTGGTATCGATCAATATCAGTACCAACATTGGATCGATATATCAATATTTTGGATCGATCCGCCCACCACTACTTTCATGTCTGTTCACTAAATGTAAAGCTAAAATCAGCAGGAAATGGTTACAAAAAATTAATACCAACATCTCTAAAGCCATTCGATACGATTGATCTAGAAAAAGCTCCATCATGTAACGTAAAACCACAAGTTGTCATTTTTATAATCCTTTTTTCTACGAATTTGAAGAGTTATAACTTGAGAGTTATAACTTGTTGGAGACAGGATTCCTACCTCTGCTCTCAGTCTTCATGCTATGCTAGAGATTAACTGGACATATGAGTATTGTTTTAAAAGACTAGTGTGTAGGATTTAATTCAATTCAATTCAATTCAATTCAATTCAATTCAATTTTATTTGTATAGCGCCAATTCATAACAGAAGTTATCTCAGGACACTTTTCAAATAGAGCAGGTCTAGACCGAACTCTTTAAAACATTAATTACAGAGACCCAACAGTACCACCATGAGCAAGCACTTGGCAACAAGGGCAAGGAAAAACTGCCTGTTAAAAGGCAGAAACCTAGGACAGATTTCTAGTAGTAAATTTAGTGGCTCTAGTGCTAAAGTTTCAGAGTGCAACTAACTGATCACTGCTCGTGTCTGTACTTGACAACCTGGTGGTGAGAACAGGCTGTAATATGTGTAAGACCTTGTGGCCTTGTGAAAAATGCAAAAAAGGCCCCATCTACAACTAGTGTTTGTTTTATCCATTCTGGGCTATTGTAGAAACATGGCAGTTCAAGATGGCGGACTCCATAGAAGGGCAACAGGCCACAGAGAAACAGCAAGCCTGTCTCCTTAAAAATTTTTAAGTTATATACATTGTCATTTGTGCAAAAATGGAACCCTAAAAATCACAACTTGCGGTTCCAGGGAGTTACATGATGATTCCCCTGCAATACACTTTTTTCCAAATTCATAGATTATCTCCTCACAGTTCACTAGTTCTCTTCTCTGTGTGTGCACTAAAAATAAATCTGGTGTTTGTACACAGCCCTGGCTATGTAAATGGGAAAGTGGATCGGACAGAGCCACGCAACACTATCTTGTTATTCCAGCCATTACTAGTTCAATCAGTTACAGCAAAATAAATTAAGGGAAAACTTAAATCACACATCGGATCTTGATGAACGAAGTATTCAAGTTGAAAATCTATACTGATGTACATTGTATAATTTGTTCAGAACAAAATGATGTAACAAAGGTCAAAGGAAACCAAAATCATCAACCCACTGGATACAAAACACACCAAAAATAAAAGTGACAATTGAAATCACAGGCTGATCCAACTTGCGTTAATTTCATCACACAAATCATAATGCAACTCAGTAGTGTATATGGCCCCCGCAAGCCTCCCGACAACGTCTGGGCATGCTCCCGATGAGTTGTTGGATAATGTCCTAGGGGGTGCCCTTCCAGACCTGTATCAGGGCATCAGTGAGCTCCTGGACAGTCTGTGGTGATACTTGCTATGGTGTGGTATGGTAAATGGTAAATGGACTGTACTTGTATAGCACCTTTCTAGTTTACCGACTACTCAAAGAGCTTTTACACTACATGCCACATTCACCCTTTTACACACATTCAGACAGTGATGGCAAAGCCCATTGAACAGAAACTAACTCAATAATTTACATTTGCACACCAATGACACAGCATTGGTTGAGGTTCAGTATCTTGCTCATGTCATGCTGGATGGTGTTACAGCAGCATAACGTTCACGGCAGCATAACGTTCACTGGCGGCTCTGGCTCAGGGGCAGAGTGGGTCATCCACTAATCGGAAGGTTGATGGTTTGAGTCTTGGCTCCTTCAGGCACATGTCGAAGTATCCTTGATTTTTTTTTTATATGTGGAGAGGGTACACTCTGAGAAAACAGCCATATGGAATAATTATGATGTGTAAATCAAGACTAACATTACTCTGGTAACCAGCCTGACCCTTGGCACAGGGAGCACTGGAATCCATCCCTCTATACTGCTTACCATACAGGTTAAGTGTGTGTGCCCAGAAACCCCATTTAGCCCCTGTGTTTTAGAGCATGTTATTATTAACAATCACCAGGGAGCACAAGCCTCCATAATGGAAACTCAATTTGGCTTCACACTTTCACTCGGATCCGATAAGCCATCTGATGTCACAGACGCGCGTCACTCTAATTCAGCAGGGTTTAATTAAAGGCCCTGAAATGTCTAGAGACAAGAAGACCTATTCATTCAGTCTTAGAGTGTCTCAGCAAGTAAATCTGCACAGTGACGTGTTTAGCTCTCTACACACTGAGCCAGTGACAACCCAGCATGCATTTGCACAACCAATTATATGGGGCATTTATAACTTTATAAAATATATATGATTTTTAATCACACAAGCATTTTTGAAGCAGTGTTTTTGGAGTGCAAATTGCCTAATTGGACTGTCAAAGAAGGGACTCTGATGAATCCTATAACA